TATTTGAAAATCTAGAATCTGAGGGTGCAAAAAAATCCAAATATTGAGAAAATCGCCTTTAAAGTTGTCCAAATGAAGTTCTTAGCATTGCACATTACTAATCAAAAATTAAGTTTTGATATATTTATGGTAAGAAAATTACCAAATATCTTCATGGAACATGATCTTTACTTAATATCCTAATGATTTTTGGCATAAAAGAAAAATCGATAATTTTGACCCATACAGTGTTTTTTTGGCTATTGCTACAAATATGCCCCAGCGACTTAAGACTGGTTTTGTGGTCCAGGGTCACATATAATGTTAATAGATATAAATGTATAGGTTATCTTTTGTACAGTAGTTGATGTTTGCCCTGAATGCCGGTCGTCTCTGTTGCAGGTTCGTATGACCACACAGTGAAAGTGTTTGACATGCGGTCAGGGAGCAGTGTGATGACCATGCAACACGGCCATCCTGTGGAGTGTGTGCTGTTATATCCGTCAGAAGCCCTGCTGGTGTCCACAGGTGAACAACACTCGTAATCTAACCACACCGTGATTAGTAATGCTTAGAACCCCTTGCAACCATTTTTTCTCATAGCTCATAATGCAGAAATATACTGTAGACTTGGTGCATTAATGTAGTTTTCATCTGATGTGCTATTTTATGGCAGCTTGAATGTGGCTTTTCTAAAAAAAACAGTTGAAATAAGGTGGTGTATGTGTTACAGGAGGGCGCTATGTGAAAATTTGGGACCTGTTGAAAGGCGGACAGGAGCTTGTTTCTCTTAAGAATCATCACAAAACAGTTACGTGTGCATGTCTGAGTTCTGTAGGCAACAAACTGCTCACAGGATCACTGGACAGGTATGTCTGCATGTGTGAGCCATAAAATGCTATAAAGTGCTTCTTTGTGCATTTTTGTCAGCCTGTTGTGAGAAAGTTGGATTTATTTGTTGTGGTTGCTTTTGATTTTAGGCATGTCAAAGTGTATAACTCCTCTTATAAGATTGTACATAATTTCGACTGTGATGCATCCATCCTCAGTATGGCCGTTGCGGTACGTTTAGTTCATTTACACAAAGAAATCTATAAATATGAACTTATTATGTGATGTTTCATTTGCGCTTGAATTGAAGTGTTGCTTATTGTGGTTCTCCTCTAGCCTGATGATGAAGTGGTTGCTGTGGGGATGACCAATGGTGTGCTGAGTGTCAGGCACAGGAAACACAAAAAAGACAAAGAGACGTTAACTAGTCGAAGGCGACGGGGCCCGTCATACCGGGTCTTTGTCAAGGGGAAGAACTTTGTGCCCAGACAGGTGATTGTTTTCATTTCTTTTCTTTTTTCTGGACGAATGAATCAATAAATTGATTAATTAGATTTTTTATTTGCTAACATTTCACAAGAACTTTGTGTCCAAACATGTGATTTTTATTTTGTTTTATTTTACTTTTTTTTCCAGAATGAATGAATCAATGAATTTTAATTACATTTCTTATTCATTTTATTTATTTTTTTCTGAACGAATGAATCAATGAATTTTAATTACATTTCTTATTTGCTTACATTTCACAAGAGCTTTGTGCCCAAACATGTGATTTTTATTTTATTTTATTTTTCTGAATGAATGGATTAATGAATTATTTAATTACATTTCTTATTTGTGACACTGGAACACAAATCCAGTCTTAAGTCGCTGGGGTATATTTGTAAATTTCCTACTGTAAATATATTAAAACTTAATTTTTTATTAGTAATATACATTGCTAAGAACTTCATTTGGACAACTTTAAAGGCGATTCTCTCAATATTTAGATTTTTTTGCACCCTCAGATTCCATATTTTCAAATAGTTGTATCTCAGCCAAATATTGTCCTATCCTAACAAACCATACATCAATGGAAAGCTTATTTATTCAGCTTTCAGATGAT